GAGGGATGACAAGAATTCTGAGAAGACATTTCAGAGTTTGTTTTCTAATTATCATGGTTATCACATTCCTGAGTTTGTTTTCTATTTCCTCGCTCAACCCAAGTATTAACTACTAAAGCAGCAGTTGAATTCCCTGTGATAAACCCACTCAAACAAATGGAACATTAGCCAATATGAATATATATTTTGCGCAGTTTCTGTTAAATACTGAAGTTAGAAAACCTGTTTCGTTAATCATATTCAAATTAACAACATGGGATGTTACCCTGCAAAAAGGGAATTGTATTTCAGAGAGTGGTCGGCTTCCAAGATCTTGGAGGAAAAGATGATTTCAGCACTAAGACACTAGAGGTGCTACTGCTAAAGAAAGGTGTAATTAGTGAGAAGAAAGATGATGAAGATGACGAAGATGATGATTATCCTGAGAATACGTGCAGGACAGTAAGATCTTCTGTGAATCATGAGTCGGACATTGACTGAGCAGGGAACAACTGCAGTTTTCCATCAATTGTCAGTGGTTCTTGCAACCGTATGAATTTTCACAGTCAATTTCCAGTTTGTTGTCTCAAGAAATTCATTTTTGCAAAAACTCGTCTTCAAATTTTGTCTTTCATTGCTACCACTTATTAATCTCCATCTTGAAACATCATTTAATAGTATTTTTTATTAACATAGTTATTGTCTTTCTACTTTGTTCAAGACAATTTACAAAAAAAAAAAAAAATCCTTTACTCTTATGAGAAGGGATATGTATATTAGAATCAACCTTGTTGGTCTTATTTACACTACATCAATTTGCCATATTCCAAATTTTCTGAACATCAACTGAAGCAGGGACTCTGCAACCAAAGTCTACACTGTACTTTTACATTGTACTTTTTCACTGAAAAAAACAATTTGGCACTTCTACTTAGTCAATCCTTTGTCCCTCCCTTTCCTTACCGTCTTCGTGTTGCTATCCTGATCCCCCTTCGTCTCTTCCTCTTAGCACTAATTTCCTTTTCCTCAGTATCACTTTTCAAACTGTTTGCTTCTTCAATCTCAGCAACTTCCTCCTCAGTTTCATCGCATTTACTCCTCGTGTTTAAGGAAGTTAACAAGTCCTTGAAGAGCAAGGTCAGCATCTTCACTCCTCATCAGTTCCTCTGCCACCTCTGCTGGGGTCACCTCCGTGCTCTGTATCAAGCTTTCGATTTCTCCGAACAGGGGATGGTCTCTGTTGCTGATGTCCAGGTAATTAGAAGCTAAGATCCTGAACGCATCAACCGTGCAATAGGACAGGTTGATGTGCACGTCCATCCTGCCTGGACGCAGCAGTGCCGAGTCAAGCCTATCCTTGTGGTTGGTCGTCAACACAATGATTTTCTCGTCCCCACAGCTTGACCACAGTCCATCAATGGAGTTCAATATGCCAGATAGCGTTAACTGCAGTCAGAAAAAACAGAGGAATTAGAATCTCAAACATTATTACAAGATTAAACGAAACTAATGGTCTTTAATCACACCCAAAAATGGTACCCACCCTTCCGTTTGAATTATCAATATCTAAGTGATTTTCTCTGTCTTGAACCTGAATGCTGCAATCTATGTCCTCGATCACAAGAATTGACCTGTTAGGTGTTGATAACAATACGTTTCTCAAGCCTGAATTCGAGTAAATACTTGCAAGCTCCAGATCGTATATATCAAACTTGAGGTAATTGGCCATGGCAGCAATCAAACTCGATTTCCCAGTGCCTGGAGGGCCGTACAACAAATACCCTCGCTTCCATGCCTTCCCCACTTTCTTGTAGAACTTCCTCCTCCTCACGAACCTCTCCAAATCATCGATTATCATCTTCTTCAGCTCTGGATCCATGGCTACGGTATCAAATGTGGCTGGATGCTCAAGAATCATGGAACCCCAGATGCCTGTATCATCATCATCGCGTGGACAGTCACGACTATAGATCCTAACCACTTTGGACTCTTCTTTGATTTGTTTAGCCCTGGCCAAAACATGAGGTAAATAAAAGTCGACGACTTTATCTTTGCACTTCTTGTTGAAGCTGAGTTCGAAGAATTTTTTCTCTGCAGAATACTGTTCCCGAGGCTCTATGCAGTTATACCTCCATTTCAACTCAATTCCCTCAAAAATATCGACGATCTCCTCATCCTTTTCAATTGAGATCGCGAAATTCTTTTGCCTCTCGGTTTTGCTCAGCCTGAGCCGCTCTGTTTTGGTGCTGATCTTGGTGGCGAGATAGAGGTCGGCGGCATTGTAGACTTCATTACTTGACATGCCGCTGGATTCGTTGATAACGAGGTTGAGGTTGGAAGAGGGAGGAGTGAAGAGGTAGTGAAAGAAGGAGAAGAAGTAAGATCTGAGCTGCTCAGGAATGAGCTCGCTCGCCATGGATCGGAGGAGCATTAAGGTTCCGGTTAAGGAGGCGTAGGTGGAGAGCAATGTTGATGCAATGTTGGACATCTCGGATG